CAACCTCACACACATCCATTCCCACGGAGACCTTTTCTGTTCTTGTCCATTCATGCAGGGGCCATGACTGGCCATGCACCAACAGCAACAGCTTTGCCACACACTCACCCTCTATGGAACAAAAATCTCCCACAGCCAAACAGTGGACAAAACAATGACTTTTTTTTTGGTACCAGGGATTGAGCACAGGAGCACTGAGTCACATCCCCAGTCCTACAATGACTTGTTTCTAAGATGAGTTCTCACTATGTTGCTCAGGCTGATCCCTGGAAGGGGATCAATCCTCCTGCCTTAGCCTTCAGAATAGCTGGGACTGCAACTCACACCACAAGTCTGCCTAAATTTATTTTTTGCATCCTGGGGATGGAACTGTGGACTTTGCATATGCTAAGCAAGCACTCTACCGCTAAGCTACTTTTTAAACTTTTTTGAGACAGGGTCTTGCTAAATTGCGCAGCTTGGCCTTAACTTATAATCCTCCTGCCTCAGCTTCCTGAATAGCTGGGATTACAAGCTTGTGGCCACTGTGCCTGGTCCAGCTAATGACATTTTAAGGTCAACAAGAACTAAAAAAAATGTATTGCTTAACAATTGTCTCTACAGGAAATATGAGTAAATTTTTTATAGTATGAAGAAAATTTTTCTAGTCATGACATAAAATCCAAATTTCTTAAAAAATGGAATCTTAACATTGAAATTTTACTTTTGGACTGGGGATAGCTCAGTGGTAGAGCACTTGCCTAGCATGTACAGTGGGTTCCATCCCTACCCACTTAAAAATAAACTTTTGTGTGGCATGTTTAAAAAAATGAACTTGTAAAGAAACACTAAGAAGGGGATGGGATTGTAACTCAGTGGTAGAGCACTTGCTTATCATGTGTGAGGCACTGGGTTCGATTCTCAGCAACACATAAACAAAACAACACTAAGAAAACATCCATCACTTAAGACAAAGTCTAATTTCCCCAGCATGAACAGGGAGCTAAAACCCACTAAGGACTTATACCCCAATAGTAAAACAAGAATGGGCAGCTTACAAAAAGAGAAAATAAAATTATCCAATAAACTATAAATTTGCCAAGGCTCAGTAAATTAAAAAAAAAATAGCAATGACATTTTGCTACTCAGACTGGCATTTTAAAAATAAAGTTGGCAAGCAGGTAAGAGTAAATAAGTATTTTTGTATTACTATAATAACAAATAGGAAAAAGCTTTTTGGCAGGAATAACTGGCAATGTATTAGGAATTTAAATATTTCCATTCTTTGACCCAGCAGTTCTTCTTCCAGGAATATATCCTAGAGCAATTCTTACCAGTGCTTCAAGACAAGGACAAAGTATTCACTGTGGCACTGTGGGTAACCTTGCACGCTGGAAACTTCCAGTGCCTATCATTGGAGCCACCAGGATATAAATGCCAAGACTGCTTACACGCTGGAGTGATGCCATTTTCCAGAGTGAAGTAGATGTATGCTGGATGGGTCAACATGTCTAAGACATGGTGACCAGTAAAAAAGCAGACTGCATAATTGCACAAAGAGCACAATCATACTTCTGCAAAAGAAAGTTCGGTTGCTTTTGCATAGAAAGCAATATGACCCCCTACTGAAGGGCAGGGAGCACTTTCACATTATATATAGATGCACATATTTTTAATGAGCATATATTAGTCTAATAAGCAGAAAAATACAAATAACAAATCATGATTAGTAAAGCCTTTCTCATAATTACTTTAAAATTTCTTATAATGAATGATGCATATAATTTATCTGTCCTTATTCATACATATAATGTATGAATTAAGTACCCAAAAAAGTCCACTATTATGGATAACGGCATAATTAGAGTTTCACTTGGTCACAACTTCCTTTCCAAACTCTGCTCAGCTCCAGGCACCACATGACACCCCATGGATAAGAACTGGCTAACTGGGCCAAGTCTCCTGGTGGCCACAACCAGGACCCAATGGAAATGGAAAGGGGAAAGCAGGCCCAGATATCCTCAAAGAATTTGACCACTCGTGCCAAAACAATCTCTCTCACTGACTTCCATGCTTCTTCCCAAATCTCAAGTTCATAAAAGGAGCCATGGTGTTCATCAGGGAGGAAGAGGGAAGCTTCCAATGAAGACAGACAGCAAAGGTAAAGCAACCAGCAGGATGATACTTGAGGGTAGGAGAAACATTCACAACAAGCACAGGAGAGGGGCAGTGCAGAAGCCTCCGGCTTCACTCTACCCATGGTGTGGGACTACACTCATGTCTGGCCCTGCCTCTCCTGAGGACATCTACCTGTCATTTCTTCAGGGCTGTAGGCTGGTCCCAAGCCCCCCGCCACAAAGACAGTAGGTAGGGAGGCCCTGGATAAGTGATTACCATCAGCAACCAGATTACTATAAAGATAGGGAAAATCATATTTTAAAAGGGGTGAATTTAGGACTATTTCCAAAATGCAAAATTTCAATTGTCTCCCATTATTTGCACACATTTTTGTCAAGTCCAAACATAATTTAAAATGAGGTAGGTAGCTTCTCTCCTCATGCCTTTGTCTTTGTGGTGACAGTTGAGGCCTGTGCCATGAAAGCACTCATCTCCTGGACAGGGGCAGCCCCGACGGCGGGCACCAGTGGCTGGTAGAGCTTCTCAGTTGGCTATTTTCTCAATCTCGTCCAAATCATCTGTGTCCAATCTTTCTATCTTCTTATCTGGGGGGAAAAGAAAGATGTGACGAGAGACCAAAATGGGGTTGCCATGGAGACACAGCTGAAGTCACCCACAAGGACAGTGTGGCAGGAAAAGCGAAGACACAGGACCCTGTCCAAGAATGGGCCACTCTTTGGGCCACTACAATGCTCCTTCCTCTTAACCCCAAAGGCTTCCAGAGCCTGAGCAGGGAGCTCTGACCAACATCCAAAAGCCCAGGGCCTTCAGCCTGGCCACAGGCGAATCATCATTAGAGCCCCTAAGCCCCCATCATATGTATGCTCCTTGAGAACACCCATCCAGCCAATGGTAGAAGGGAAGGGAGGGAGCATGTATAGGGACAAAGGCCTCTCTCAGGGCCACAGGAAAACTTCCCCTTTCCCCACATCCACCACAAAGAGGGTGCCTGCAGGAGACCCTCTGGGGACTCACTAAAATGTTCCTGGATTCTGTTCAGGATGTTCATGCTGTGCTTGCTGTCAACCATGTTCACGGCCAGGCCTCTCTTGCCAAAGCGGCCAGTGCGCCCAATCCGGTGCAGGTAGGTCTCGTTATCTGGGTTCCCGTCCTTGTCCACAGGAAGATCAAAGTTGATGACCACAGACACTTGTTCAACATCGATGCCTGCACAAAGGAGGGACACAGAGGAGTCAGGGCCAAAGACGTGGTCAACCATGCACCCACTCTGGTGGAGGGAGAGTCTGCAGCAGGTCACCTCTGGAGTGCAGGCACAAGAGAGGATACATATTGGCCTATGTACCAGAACCTTGCAGGTACTAAAACCATGAAACCACAAAGCAAGTCTTTGCTACACACGCAAGAGAGTCTGAAGACACAGCCACAGCCAAACACCTAGAGATGCCCTGGAAAGAGCTGGCTCTGTTTTGAGTGTCTCCTTGTACCTGGGCATGACTCTTGGCTTCTATAAATTCCCATCACCCGAGGGAAATCCCATCTCTCCTGAAAAGGATTATCCCTGCCAACCCCAGAGGGCTCCTAGAGACCATCCAAGTCTCCTGGATGTAAGGACTTCTCTCGCTAACAGGGCTGGATGCCTGAGCCTAGGATTCCAGGACAGTCTCTGCTTACCACGAGCACACACATTGGTGGTCACCAGAACCTTCTCTTTGCCCTCTCGGAAGCGCTCAATCACAGCAGCCCTCTGCTCCACCATCATTTCTCCACTCAGCAGAGCCACCTGGTGGCCTTCTTTTGAGAGCTCTGCTGCCAACCAACTAGCTGTTTTGCGAGTCTGGAAGGAAAATTATTTGAGAAATGAAGGTACCTAAAGAGACTGTTTTTGATCTGGAAGACTCTTATCTGAAGGGTTAAATTTCCTAAAACTGCCAACCTGATGTGGTATAATAGAAAGTAACTATGTCACCTGAGTAGTAATTTTACAAAAACGTTCATACTACAAAAATATTTTTATATAGATTTTCAGATTAACACAATCTTTATTTTTTTTTTTTGGTGGGCTGAGGATCGAACCCAGTGCCTCACACATGCAAGGCAAGCACCCTACCACTGAGCTACAATCTCAGCTCCATACTACTATAAAAATATTTAACTTGTATAGATCACAAGGGAAAAAGTCAGGCACAGAAGCCCATGTCTATAATCCCAGCTATTTAGGAGGCTGAGGCAGGAGGATCATAAGTTCAAGGCCAGCCTCAGCAATGTAGCAAGAGGCTATCACAAAAAGTAAAAGGGCTGGGGATATAGCTCAATGGCAGAGTAGCTGGCTAGACCTTGGATTCAATCCCCAGCACTGCAAACCCCCCCCCCACAGAAAACAAAAGCCAGCCCACCAAAACAACAAAAAACAAGAGGGAAAATCAAACAAATTATGATTATGAGTCTAGACTCAAATTTTAAGATGTCCATGTGATGAAAGGCATTCAGAAAGGATGGTTCTGGATTAAGGGAGTCTTAAGAGATATGACAATTAAATGTAAGCAATCCTGGGTTGACTTATAGGTTTAATATAACAAAAAGCAATGAAGAACATTTCTGAAGAAGGTAGAATATGAAACTGTATTTGAGAAAATGTTATTGTATCATTGTTACAGGAATGAAGGTGGCACCATGGTCAAGTGGGAGAATATCTCGTTCTTAGTAAACATTTTGAGTATATGATGTCTACAACTAACTTTAAAATGATTCAGCAAAAAGAAAAAACACACCCAGGTTCAGTGGCTAACATCTGTAATCCCAGCAATTTTGGAGGCTGAGGCAGAAAGATACCAAGCTGAACGCCAGTGACTTAGAAGAGCCTGTCTCAAAATTAAAATAAAAATAAACAGGGGGCTGAGTATATAGCTCAGTTGGTGGAGTGCTTGCCTCACGTGCACAAGACCCTGGGTTCAATCCCCAGCACC